GTATTACTAGTCAGAGTGAAGATATAAAACCTTTAATGATTTGTGAGGAGGAACCAAAATTGTCTACTTCTGTTATTAAAGAGTTTGAAAATGATGAACTTGACGGTAAATTGAATATTTGTGGTAATGATCATGATAGTGCACATTTGTCTTTGGTTGATCATGATGAGATGAGGGATATGCCTACTACTGCTAAGTTGAACAAAGGTTCTGTACAACTTGAACGTGAAGTAGAAATAAATGCAGATGCAGTTGCAGAAGGCATGCATACTTGTGAGACCGTCAGTGTGAGTGATCAGCATGTAGCCCACCTATCATCAGATGCTAGTGCTAAACCTGAGCTGATAGTAAAAGACAGCAGTGGTGGTGGTCTTGCAGGTAGACAAACTTCTGAAAGCCGAGCAACAACAGCTTTTGATCCACCGCTAACTTCATCAACTGATATCAATCAGTCGTCGTTGGTGCTGTCATCCACAATGAAACAGACACCCATCAACTCAAGTATCTTGTGCAATGACTATGGTAGTATCAGTTCGTTTGAAAGGACGAATATCAATGGTCAGTTTAGTGAGGATAAGCCAAGTGTAAAGGAGAGAGTAATTGTTAAATTGACTTGCACGAATAAAGGCATTTCTAGTTTCAAGTTACTATTTGAATGTTATTATCTTTGGTGTAAATTACTCTGTTTCTACACTTGGTTGATGAGATATGTCGTGTGTTTGTTGGTCATCTATATTCTACGATACAATGACATGGGCGTGTTGCCGTTCAGATTTGAGGATATAGCTGATAGAAGGAAGTCAGCAAATGAACTCTGCGACGATTTTCCAACCTAGAGCGTCAACCTGAGAAGGGTTGTAGGCGTACTGCTGTAAGTCCTACAATTCTTCAAAGGGTAGCGCATCAATGAGCAGTCCAATGTGCTTGGTGTGTGATTTTGTACATATGTTCATATTGTATATACTGAATTGATATCATCTGTCATCTAGCTGTTGGTAATTCTGTTTGTGCCCGGACGACTTCCACTTGGATCATCAACCTGAGAAGGTATGTAGGCGTACTGCTGTAAGTCCTACGGTTCTTCAAGTGTAGTTTGTCGTGCAGAATCCACAACATTTGATGTGTGATTGTACATATGTTTGTGTTAAATAGTTGTGTGAGTTCCAATTGTGTAATTGTTGGTTAATCTTGTTTGTGTCCGGACATTCCACAAATTACAATCGTCAACCTGAGAAGGGTTGTAGGCGTACTGGTGTAAGTCCTGCAATTCTTCAAAGGAATTCCACCAAGACATGATCGGCGAGGTTGTTTGTACTATTTGTATATACGTGTGGTGTGTCATATCAATTGGTTTTTTTGGATTCATTGTGTTTACTTGTTGTTTTCGTATCTTGTTGTTATTGCGTAATTTTGTTAAAATTTTCGTCGTGATTACTTCTGAAGTTGTTTCGAGTCTTCTACATCCATGAATGAATTGATTGATGTTAAGGACAGCAGATGGGTCGTATACGCCGGGGAGGCTAGGCTATTGCTGAGAATGAAATGCACACGGAGATAATTGTTAGCTGCGGTCCGACACGCCGGGGAGAAAGAGTGTAAACGACTGAGGCTCGCATGCGTCACCGCTACTAGAACTGAGGCAGAATGAGTGACAAGCGATTGCAGTGGTAATTGGTAGTGAGTAGATAAGAGGATGTGCGTAGAGTATCATGAGTTGGTGCTATGGTCACGTTGCATTCTGCAAGAGTCATTCTAGCAAGTGGCGATTGTGTTGCAAGATGTCAAGAGGAGGTCTCTGTCTGGAGGCGCAGGTCGTCAGCGATGTGTGAGATTGTGCTGTGGGTATGCTTGTGGTGTGTTGGCTTTTCTGTTTGTTTTCCATTTCAGCTCTGTCCGTGTGACCCAGGTTCTCGCAATGGCATCCAAGTCAACGTGCATTGGTCGTGAAGGAAAAAAGGGTTGGATCCCTTTTTTGCCGGGGAGTGTCAATGTAGTTGAAGATTGAACGATCAATTCTTGGTTGTTTGCTCAAAATCAACTTCCCCAATTTTCGCGGAGGCATCAATACGACAGTCATCGTCTCATCGGTCGCTGTTCAGAAAGAAGTCAGGAGACAACCATCAGAAGTAATCTTGTGATTTATTATTGTAATATTTGTTCACAGACCCTAGTAAAAACATTATTTTTATATGTTGGTGTAACAATAAAGAATTCTCGAGTGGCCAATCGGTCTTTTGGTTTTTTCGTCCGTTATTACTAAGCGTTTCTGAAAAACTGCAAGGAACAGCGTGGGCCCGAGCGTAGCAAGAGCTGGGCATTAACGGTTTATGTGACGGGACTGACAACTAGCCCTAACTCAGGTCAACTAAACCGCTTAATCATCGGTAAGATAAATCATGTAGCGCAAGTTATGAAAACGAATATCTCACATAATCTCCCTCTGATGAACAAGATCACTGGATATTCACTTAATATTCAACACTGACACCGTGTCATTTTACTCACTTCTAACCACAATAGGCTCATTAGTTCCTTTATTAACCTGTCACTCATTAACGCCACTAAAAGTTTTGAACTGTCAAGCAGTATAAAAGTAGGAGACTAGTAGAAGTTGGAATAGCCAGGCTTTGCTGGAAGGGGATCCAGAGTGGATAAAGAACTTAACAGTTATTCAACAGTATTATGAACAGACTAATTTGTGGTGCTTATGGTTGCTAAATTCACAAGTATTCGCACGATTTGATTATACTACAGAGTCAAAAGAACGAGTTCATACCAAAATAGCGAAGCATTAGCTGAACACCCCACTGCATTGTTTCGAGAAACTTAAGGCTTACCATACAGAGTACATCCTGCAGCAGACCAAACGGCTATACTTGTAGTTCGGATACTTTGGTTGTTATATACAATCACAGAATCCTTATCCGAACCATTACCGGCTGGGCAGCTTATTATTACTTTCCTTCATTAATCCCACGTCATCTATGAAATGGATTTTCCTTTGGGGTATAATTTTAAGCGGTTTATTCCTTTTATTTTGTGAATTATTGTTAACACACAGAAACAGGACGAGCTTCGTTAGTGATACGGTTCTAGTATGCACCAGTTTAGATGAAACTTGTCGACCGTGAAAATTTGGCTGTTCAGGAAATCAGGTTGCTCTGATGAGCATGACGGTTTTCCTCAGCTCCAATGCATGACAAAAGATTACATTTTAAGCTTGATTTTCTACCAGGATGTAATCAGTTGCGTTGGTTTTTATTGTTTGCTCCAGCTGATTTAATCAATAATCGCCAACTGATTCATCAAACATATGTATTGGAAATATAACCTATGATTGTAATTCGGGTAATTTTACGATGACTGTTCTCCTTCTGTCGCGAACTGACTAGTACCAAGCCAAAAACATTCGTTAATTCAACTGAACCCCAGAGATTCGGCCCTTAACTATCTGCGCTGATTGGATCACATAGTGGACTATTGGGTTTTCGGGGGACAAGAGTGTCATGGTTTGATCGCGTCTCCATATATTTTCTTGACACTGTCATTATTGGATGTGTTCTTGAACGACCTCAAATGTTATGTTCACCCTTAAGTAGTTGGGCCATTTTAGAAGCAGATCGACTACCGAGTTAAGTGGGTAGGGCTAAGGAGTCAGCAGGTGGTGTAGTCAAAGCGCAAGCAAGACAGATGACCATACCGCAACTATGGGCGTTGGCTTTAGTTGAGGCCAGCTGGAAAATGAGCTCAAAGTAGTCCGAGAAGTATAGCTAGCTGTCTTCCTAGTGATCGACACATCGTAAAGGTTCTTCTCAGTTACAGAGAAGAGTTCCCTAATAATGGGATAGCCACACATATTCCTGCCACGTGTATCCCACCCCTCATTTAACTTTCCTCTAATCTAAGGGGAAAGATTAGTGTCTTGGGTAGATAAAACATTCACCAGTGTGACGATTACTAATATCTTTTTTTATTACTGCTTGATTCCACACGTATTTTTGGTACAAGTGTGGAAATTTCGGCGTGGATATCGGTAGCCCGACAATAGATATCAGGTGTGCGTCGGCAGGGGATCGAACTTCAGACCGTGTGCATGGTAGGCGAGAGTCCTAACCACTGTGCCACCGACGCACAGCACTTAATGAAGTGGCTCAGCTGGCCTATTGTAAAGGCTCACTGGTTCTCAACGGGGAAAAGACGTTTATAGTTTGCTTGGACGATAGGTGGTTAGAGTTCCACATTGATTCGCTTGTGGAATATGTCACCCAGTGAACTCGGACAAAAGAGTTGATTCAGCATCTGTCCAGAACATATAGAAAGTTCTAATACTCCTACAATCAGTGGGTAGGGATAAAAGAAATATAAAACTAGAGATTAAAAGTTTTGTGATACGATTGTGAACAATAAATTTGCTGGAAACTTCATCCCGCAAATCATCCTGCCTCACTGTATCATATTCAATGAACAAGTAATAAGTGAAATACATAATACCACAGTGCCCATTTTTTTGCACATATTAATAATTCAAGAGGGCCTGTCTTGTTTCCACTCCACACCGATTGACTACCAGGAGCTATTCGGTTGTCGTCGCTGCGAATTTTTAATTAATTCAAGGTACGGTGGTTATCCATGGTACTTCATACTGACCCTTACTGACTAACAGAAGTTAACACAGTGACTCTCTAGGCATTTGTACAAGTTAAATCTATTACTGTCCGGGTTCAATGCGAAAGCTAGATAACAATGAGGTGGAATAATAGCAGGGATAGGGAGTGTTAGTAGTCTCGGTCGGGAATAATAGATCGTTCTTAAGTAACAAGAACCTGATTAAGCGTTTCTCAGAAACAGCAGCACCTCACTAAAGATACATACAGCTGATTTTTATGAAAAAATATCAGAATGTTCTAAGTATCTGATTGGTCATTCCAAAGGTGGTTGAATACATATTTATGGGAACTAAGGTATAATATAGCGTTTTTATTTAAATGTAGGTGATTTGTTGCATCTACCGAAAGTATTTGGCTTCTTTAGTTTTTTTCAAGTATCGGTTTTGTATTAGTTTTGTTTAGTTACTTAGTTGCTGCGAGGTTTTTATGGTATTTTTATGAGGTAATTTAAAAGTGTTAACAATGGAAGGGGATATCATAGACTGGACCAAAGAGGTAGGTCTAGTAATAATCTATTTAAAAAGTATGGCGAGAAAGAGAAGGCTAGAAAAATGGAGGAAGAATTGAGAAATGGTTTGAAGACATTGGACGGTTATGCACCTCAAAAGCCAGTATATGAGTTTCGGGAGCAATTCACTCTAGAGAAATGCCCACCCCCAGATGCACCTAGTCAGATTCGAATTAAACTAATGTTGAGTATTTGATCTAGAATTAGACAGGAGGACATCGAATTATACGCAAAAATAAGGTGATATTGTTTTAGCATATGACCCTGTTTTAAAATTAACCAATAAATGACACTCATTTTAGAAAGGAAGTTGAACAAGAGTTCATGGTAAAGCCTTATCCTATGGACTACAGATCTGTAACAAAGTGCGATTTCCATAAATACACTGTCCCACAACCTCCTAGACCTGAGCCACGAGTAAGCAATATATCACGTGTTTCCTTTTGCTTTGAACTATACATTTACTATTTTGCAGGTTTTTCATGTATATAGTTTTGAAAAATTGGGGGTTTTGGCAACTTATCATCTCATTAACGTTTTCAGCTTCTATTGGCTTGTCTCACTCATAAGAAATTTCATTCATATAAAACCTCTAAAACAAGTTAGCTAGCCCTTAAAAATAACTAAACAAATGTGCTTTGTGTTTTCCCGTGCTTTAATTATTAATTCGTGGACTTGCGTTGGGTCTTACTTTAAAAACATCTGGGATTCCGCTTAGTCAACTTCGTCACTACTTCGGATGTGAGGACTTTTTTTCGCATGATTATTTATTTAAGATTTCTTACTTTTAATGAAGCAATTTATCTTCAAGAATTTCATTCTGATGGAAGATTTATTGGAACTTGTGTGCTGCACATCCAGTCTAACCTTTGAACTGGGGAGTCGGATTTGTGGGGAATTTATTAATTTCAATTAATCGAAAGGAATTGGCTGGATTTTAAAAAGAGAACTTTGACCAGTAGGGTCGATTGGCTAGCTAGTGTCGGTGAATTGAGTTGGCAGTATATTATGTAGAAGGAGTTATGATTTATAGCTGATTATAATTATTTTCACTATTATTGACATTATCATTACGCCTTTAGTTTTTGGGTGGAACATCTCCATTTCATCATGTTTTCTGCACTTTTCTTGCTCAACGATTGTTCATAAGCTCTCATCTTCTCGTCATACAAATCCTTTCATGTTACGGTTGAACACACCCAACTCGTCTTTTCCATTTGAATTCCACTACATGGATTGGTGTGCGATGACACTCTTTGGTTTCTTCAGTGTGTCTCCGATCCATCTCTTTTTCCTTCCACATAACTTCGGGGCTATAGTATCTTGACTGGTTTGCTTCCTGAAAAAGTTTACTGCTGCTTATCCTTTCTAGCCGGCCATCCAGTCTTCAATATGGAACGAAGACAGCTGTTAATAAAGGTTTGAAAACTGTTGGAATTGTTTTGGCGATATGCCAATTCTCTAAACCACATAGTAGCACTGAATTGACGCTAAATTTGGAAATCCGAACCTTGTTCTTTATGCTGAATACAGCGGGTTTTAACACAGATTTCGGATTAGTCATCCATCTTTGCCACCTTTAGTTGAAATGGTGGCGACTGGATAAGTGGAGAATTGACTTCTTTCGAATCCCTCTTATTGATAGTGATTAGTGATCGCGATTGTTGGTTAGTTATCTTCGTCACCTGTGCCTTCTCTATGTTCTGTTCTCAATAGAAACTTGATGATCTCTCACAATAATGACTTGAAAACTTCTTTTTCTTCCAAAGCATAATCTGCAAAGGACACACAGTTATCTACTTTAACTCTTCCGGCTTTGTTATATTCTACTTTTCCACTTCTTGACATAATTTCGTAGCATTTCGGGATCGAAACCTGTGACAAATTCGGCGGTCAATTAATAGCGTTCATAGACAGAATGTGGGGAAGATGTGGCATGTTGATTAAGCATTCGAATTCCAATCAGTGGGCGTCGGATGTTGAATGCAGCTCCACCTACACAATCCTGGGTGGTCGGGTAGTATTATCAGCCTTCATGCAATAAATGTGACACATGATTGCGTCCTGACTCCTAAGTACAGCACCTGCCTATAATAGTTTTGTTATCAGTATTATGGGGCACCTATTCCTCAGAGAAACATCTGAAATTGTTTTCAGCAGTTTTACAGCGATGAACTATGTATTTGAAACCCTATTACCTTTAAATCCCTAAATGCTTATGTGTACGGCTTGAAATAGAGAACCAAATTATATTTCTAATGATGGGTTAGAATGTTGGACTGCTTATTTTTCACTTAGCCAAGTAGTGAGGTTTTATAAATTAGATTAATATTGCCAGAATTAGGGTTTTTGTTCCAGCAACCGAGTCCATTAGGAGTAGAGCAATACTGAAACCCAATAGAAAACTCGACTGAATACCAAGTACAATAATTCTGCATCAAAAACTTTCTGTTTCTTTAAGCCTATGGAACAAGATACGAGACAAAACCTGCCTGTACCATTGAGAAGTACAACACTCGCAAAAATAAAGCAATCTCAGTAGTGAAATAACCAGTTCGACTCTTTGCGTTTTCACTTAGAATGACAGATTAAATATTGGGCAGCAGAATAAATTGTATTTGTGTGACAAACGTGTTGGGTTGAACTCAATTACAAAATATTATGAAATGCAAGACAGTGATGCTGATTAGTCATAACAGGTACATGTGATGCAGGGGAAGAAAATTGAAAATAAGTTTTGGTCTCCTTTAGTGCTGATTTCAGTTTGAAATTAGAGAATGCAGCAGTAACAAAATGTGGTAATTCATAGTTCCTAACTAGATGCTCTGTTAGATGCATTGTTGAGCCATCATTACTTTTGGCCGCCTAATAACATGGGGTTTAAGAGATCCTAGAGGTAGTTATCTACAGAACTGTTCAAAATTAAACTTCTCGAAGTTTTGAAGGTTCTCTTTGTCTTCATCAGTTTACTCTTTTGATATTTTTCATTTCCTTTGGTTCCACAGCCTTTCTGATATCTAAAAACCAGGTGTAGATCACAAAATTTAGCTAATTTGTAATTGATGTTTGAGTTATTTGGTGTAAATCTATGCTTTTCAGAAATGAGTAGTTATTCATTCTTGTAGTTTTGATATCGATAGCACTAAAAGTCGAAGTCATTTTAAATTGTAGAATGACTTCATGTTCATGATTACTGGCTTTAAATTAAAGTGAAATAAAAGTGATAATTTCATTTTAAGTGTTTTTGAAAATATTCTAAAGCTGTAAAGAACTGATAAGAGAAAAATCAGATAAGAAAGTTTTCTTCACCAGAGAAATTATCTTCAGAGGTTGTACAATCGTATTTACACTTATTAAGCAAACAAATACTAGTCTGTAATAGATGGTTGGAGGCAATCGGCAGGAAGTCTTGGACCTAAGTTTCGTGCTAGTCAGAACTCTTCAACAAGGCGTATCTGAAATCTTGAAAGAACTCATGTCCCTTCTGGGACTCGAACCCGCGTCACCCAGTGGTGCAGTCAGAGACTTTACCACTTAATCATTTCGGCTTGTGATTGTCCCCCCCCCGTAGGACTGCATTGGATATTTTTTGATTGGACATTAGTCAGTAAGTAGTGTAATATATCTAGTTCTATCTTTGGTGCAGATTGAATTCTAACAGTCAAGTCAACATTGCAATAGTTACTGACTAGGTTCCAGTCAATAAATGTCGGTCTGTTATTAGGTAATAGGAGATGACACAATTTATATAATTAAGTAGAATCAGCTACTAAAATAGAAAAGAAAATTAAAAAAACTACGTACAGTGGGGGAATGGGTGTGGCTACTTGACAAGTTTGAAGAGGGTGAGTAAAATATACAAGAGTAACGTGTATTAGTGATAAAAGGGAATCAGTTATCACAAATAAAAGCTAAATATTAGGGAAGAGATTAAGACCAAAGTAGGATGAAAGACTGAATAGACATTTTCTGTACACTGATTTCAGGGTTGTATTGACGAATCTCCAGCATCTGTGAATTACAGGAATGCTGAAACCTATTAACTTTTTATCACTTTGTCTCACTTTGGAGCTAATCATAAGAGACAAATCCGGTGGGGATGCGTGGCCTAAATTCACCAGGTGCTCAAAATTATCTTACATTATCCTCTTGCTAATCATGCTAGATAATGTTCGGAGATTCATTTGCAAAGCGTGCGATTTTTTCAGTCAGTATAACTAACTAGTCACTTATTACGCATCAAACTGGACAGATGAATGCAAGGTACTCTGGTTATTAGCTATTATTGCATGTAGCTCGGTTGTCTGAATCTCTTGTTGCATCTAGTACTGATTGCTTAATGACTGATGGATGCTGTGTTTACATAACTCAGTAGATATGTAAACTGACTGTTGCATTGACAAGCCTAAAAATATTCAACCACTTTGGGCGCACCTTACAACAAACCAATTATACTTTTCATCATTGCTGATTATTTACAAATAAGCTTTTTTATGTGTGGCTATGTCATGTGATATCTAAGATGCTATGGTCTTGCTGAAAGCATCATTCCTTTTCCTCTTTGGAAGATTAACTACTTATTATTTTTCAGTAGTCATCTTTAAATATTAAAATTTTGAAACCAGTTAACTGTCATGCAAATGGTTGGCTTGATATTAACTTGTGAAACTATATAGTCTGTAGATTATCAGTCGAAATCTGTCATTTGGGTGTACGATATGGTGGGTTGCCACTGGATATTTAGTGTTGAGAGTCAGTCATCAGAAGCCCAAGGCCTAGATTTTTCGTCCTTGTCATCCATCAGCAGTGAAGAGCGAATTTTCTCATTTAATCGATTGGTCACATTTCAGGTCTTGTAGATAAATGGTAAGTAAACAACATCAGGATTGAATAATTACATTGGATACTATACAGTGATTGATTCCCATGCATAAACGAGGTTAGAAGTGCACTGAATAGATTAGTAGTAAGGTTCAAAACTTATGTTCAGAGTTTCCTGCTATTTAATAATCTTAAATTTGCTCATCAAATGAGTCATAAATATTTCTGTTTAGTTTTTATTCATGTCACCTTGTTCACTGTCCTACGGTGATCCAGACATTATCGGTCTTTTAACCATGCAAACTTTACTGTCGACTACGATTCCTCATGGATTTGTATACTAAGTTAAGGACATAATAATTTCATACAGGATATTTAAAATTATACAGCATACTGATTATTGTAGTGAAGAATTTTCATTGGAGATGATTTTTTTCACTATTCCAGCTTCAATGGTACCACTACCCAATATGTTCATGTAAAAATCACTTGCTTAATCTTTGTAACATTAACGCCAGCTAAAATGTTCCTTTTACTTTTTGACCAATCTCACGATTGCTTGGGTCACATTATTATTAATATTATTAATTATGTTGGTATAGGTATAAATAAAGCATAGATAAAGCATAAGATGGACAACGTATAACCTCATTTTTTCCATATTGGTTTGTTTATTAGATGTATCACACAGTGAAACAGTATTATTTACTGGATGACGAGGTTTCGAACAAAATTTATTGTTCACAATCATATCAATTATAATCACACGGCTTCGAAACTTGAGTTTTATAGTTTTCTTTGTCTTCTCCTATTTGTCGTCGTTGGTGTAGTAGAATTTTCCAGATATGTGGGACAGGTGATGAATCATTCCCATTACATGTGTTTTCAGTTGATTCGATAAACAAGGCTTCTGTTATCAATCTCTCCCTCCATCCAGTTGTTAGATTAGATTTTAAAACTGTCATCTTATCCCATCCACCCTATTGTCTGGTTGTGTTTAATTGCATGTAGTGAGTGGTATAGCTGAACTATTCTCTAGATCTCTTATCTTGTTTGGGTGAACTAATCCAGATTTTGCTAGGTTTTTGTTCTTGGCTAGTCTGACTGTCCGTGTTCTACTAGTTTGATCTGTGTATTTGACCTGACTTTGGCTCTACAGGATCCTTCAACCGACAAAGCTTGTTTCTAATTGAGTTTGTGGGTTTGAATGTCACTTTTATCCCCACTTTGTTAAGAATTCTGCGTAAGGTGGTTTCCGAGGTTCCTTCCTTGTATGGAATTACTACTGATGATTTAGATTCCTTATTGTCAGTGTTGTCTTGCGCATGTTTGACATGCACGTAGTCATTAATATTATTATTATTATTATTATCATCACTATCACTACTATCATTGTGAAATAGTATGATTCCATTATGGATAAAATTTTATTTTAAAAAAGTCACATGGTGTTATGCAGTGTTTTCTACTGATGACGTTTCGAGCCCAACTGATTGCTCATAATCATATGAAAGTACTCATACAACTTTAGAATTTCATTCATATACATAAGTCAGATTATAGGAATATAAAAGTTTAGCTAAGTGTAGAATGATTGACCTTAAAAAGATAAGCAGTTTAGGACAAATAAACCCAGCAGCTGCACTGCATGGATTAAAACACAACCATGCAATAGGGTGAAACAGATTTACAGTTCCTAAAAGTAATTACAGATGTTGATTACCGAGTCATCATTGTTCATTGAATCTAAGCCTAACACATACAATAGGAATAAGTCAGCATCAATATCAAAGTTATGCAAAATATTACTTACTATTAATCTAATTAAAGGATAAGAAATAATGTTCGATCTTTGTTTTATTTGTATTTGATTTTACATTATCACAACACTCATCTTACTTCTCATCTCATTGCATTCACATTTCTGAATGTAATTTATTTCACTCATCTCTATTGTACTTTATATTGACATTGATTTGTCCATTCATATGTGTAATCTACTTAGTGACTCATGTATACAAACGAAGCAAGAAAGTTGTGGGAGTGCTTTGATATACTTATGCGCATTAGATTGTACTGAAAACGTCATCAGTAAATATTACTGTATAACACTGTGTGATTAATATTATAAAATAAATTTACTCTATAGTGAAATTATACTCTAACACAGTGCCTAAGTTCCATTCTTATCTTTTCAAGTATTAGTTTGTAGGAATTTGATTGATTAGTTACAGGATTTCATCATGAACTGACATTGGTTAGGGAACCATTGGAGAACCTGCAGGGAGTACTGGATAGCTGTTTCGTCCTAGTCTGGGACTCTTCATCAATACACACCCACTGCCTCAGATCGAACCCAGGACCTTCAGGCTACAAGGCTAGCGAGCTCGTAGGTCGTTAAGCCACTGGGATCTGACCCCGTGGCCAACGCATGAATTCCATCTTCTGCCAATTCACAACACAGCGCAACCGCTAGCCAATGTCTTCGGCGATTATTTGTCCTCACACCCGACCTGGTGCACCCTACTGGTCACGACTTCCCACTATAACCCTAGGTAACTATTCACCTGAATAGTGCCAGTCCCAAACTAGGCTAACAAAACAGCTTTCCAGTACTCCCAGCTGGTTTTCCAATGGTTCTCTAATCGATGTCATCTCATGATGAAATCCTGTAATCTATTCTTATATATTATGTCAGAAAGATCGGAACTGGATACGTTACTTGAAATCAGATCACTGTGACCGAATTGAGTAAGAGTCGTTTGTGGAATAGAATAAAACTAAAACTAGAAAGAGGCTATAAAAATTCCACTTATATTTGTTGGTAATGAAGTAGATAGGTGAAGAGAAAGCAGAAAGCAGGTTACACGATTTGCACTATTTGTTAAGTTGCTTTCAGGTTTCCTACACTCTTCTCTGGCATAAGCATATTATGTGTATTTGTTAGAGTTCCCTCCCAAGGTATTTCTGAATTTTAAGATGGTTTCATCCGTTCATTCGTTATTAATTATACCTAGTGACTAATTAAAATATCTATTGTTGCACTATTTTACAAATGAAAAATTATAACTAAACATCCTACAAGTATCTGTGAATTTGTCAGTTACTAAAGTAACAATTAGATTGTATGAAAAGCAAAGCATTTTTTTAAAATGAGCCTCCAAACACATTTAGATCGATTAAAACAAACGTTTATAAGATTTTCAATCTTATGTAAAGATAACAGTGTGAAATTAGACCATAGTTTCTTTTATAGGTAGCAATCATCAGGTAGTAAATTGTCGTCCACCCGAAATCATAACTACTGCCGAGTAAACTGTCAGAAAACCTGTCTCGTATATACCGATTGAATTTGTGTGATAACAGTTGATAATTGTCAGGCAAATATGTATTGATTTGTTACTGTACACATTACCATATTGGTAGATGGGACATATTCTGCTCATCTTCTGATTTGTCAAATAACTTAAGACTGGTGTTTTTATTCCTCTTCACGCCTAACGGAGGGTAAAATTACAAACTTCAGATTTAAAGTTTCTGTAGCGGTGGTGTTTTTTTTTTCAACGGCGTAAAGTTACTAGCTTCCCAAACAACCTCCCGTCTTTTCTGGGCTTACTATCAGATGAGCGAGGTTTACGAATGCGTTGATCTGTAATCGAACTGGTACCATGGGCATGGTCAACAACTATACTACCAGTGAAGTACTGACGCGATGGTCGACACCTGGTATTAGCAACCGGTCACCTATGTAAGTACTAACCGGGCCCAGCTTTGTTTAACTTGGGTGATCAGATGTGGACCGATATTTTCAATGTGGTATGATCGCGGACAATTATGACTCAGAGGGAAAAGTTTTAAAGGTCTCATAGTTTACGTAGATAACATGCTGATAGGACTTTCTGTGCGCAATTCAAATGCAAACTAATTTTGAGGGACAGAGGAATGTTTGGCCAGCTATCTTCATCATTTCAGTGGCTTAATTTCATTAGCACACATTTGATTGTTGCACATAACAACATGTTCTCATGTTTTAGATGCGATAAATTGGATTAAATCTGTAATCAGAGAGTGATAGTTCCTAACTTTATCACCTGGCTTCCTGCAGTTAAATTTAGTATTACTATAAAGTCAATTGGTGGATGGTGACTAGCAGTGGAACTCAGGATGCGCATTTCGTCCTATTTGGGACTCGTTGACTGGATATACCTGCATTCCCCAGTAAGTGATGGTCTTCCCACCGAGCACTCTGGCCCAGTTAATCGATGGGAAAATCTAAATTGAATTAAATAATTAGTATTACTATTTAATGTTATTGGTGTACCACTTAGATAAATTTGAAAAAACTTGTTTTATCCGTTATTTCATTCAATCCTTTTCAAAAATTACCAATGTTTCATTTGCTTCTATTCTTCAAGCTTCGTGAAATGGTCCGAGAACAACCGGTTACATTTTGGACAGAGCACAGGGATAAAATGCATGTAAGTCAAATTGTTGCATTTTTTTTTCGCACGATTCTTTATTCTTTATTTGTTTTTATACAAAGCGATTAAATGACTTAGTGGTTTGCATTCTTGGAAAAAGAAACTCTGCTTTTAGTTTCGTAAGTCTTAACTACCTTGTTGAAGATTACTGAAGATTAATTAGGCCGCATAAACTGCTTATTCCTGTTTTGTGGAGGTTTTGAAACCTTTCAATTAATTTATTTCTTTCCTACAAAACTAGTCGATAGTTAGTCATCAAGAAATTGTCGAATATTAACTTTATTCTATAAATATCTCCTATTGTCTCTTTATTATCCACGTTAATTTATTTAGGAGTTTAAATGGTTGACTGAATCTTCATTGGTCACTTAAACTTCAGTCACTTATAAAGTAGTTTATAGAAATCATGCACCGTGTATTTATTCAACAAATCGTTTATAGAGGTTGTATGTTGTATTTCCATATAGGTATTTAATCCCTAATAACACACTTTGAGATGATAGAAGCCTGCTAAGAGGACAAAACAAATCGAAGTTCTGTATCATCTTCTTATCAGTAAATATATACATTACTAAATATTTTCAAGTATGGGTTTTTGAAGGAATTAAGTTTGATTGTTTGGACGATTTCATCATGAACCATTGGAAAGCCTGCAGGGGGTACTGGACAGCTGTTTCGTCCTAGTTCGCGACTCTCTAGCAGTACACACCCACCGCCTCAGTTCGAACTCAGGTCCTTCTGTCTGTTTACAAGACTAGCTAGCTCGTAGACCATTAAGCCACTGGGACCCAATCCAGTGGCCAATTCATGAATTCCGCCTTCTGCCAATTCATAACGCACAGCTACCACTTCACAATGTCTTCTTTGATGAGTTACTGCCTCACCTTCATCTTCTACCCTACTGGTCACGAATTCCCACTAGAACCCCAGGTTAACTGCCTGAATAAGGACAGTCACTAGTGAGCATCATATAAATTTCCAAGTATTGGTTCTGTAGGGATTTAGTTTGATTGGTTGGAAGATTTCATCATGAGCTGACTGATATCAGTTAGAGAACCATTGAAAATTGAGCATTCATGAAGCAGTTGTCTACACTGGTAAACTCAGTAAAAGTTTATTTAACGGCTTGAATTAAATAATATGGTTTATGTGGCAGTAACTGGCGAGCATTACTGCATAGTTTGCTACACTGCTGTCAGATAGAAAGTGTGATGAGAAAGAAAGGTAAAGCAACTGAAATTCGTACATTTTTGATATCATATGTTAGTGAGTGACTGATATGACTTGTTGGATACCGCTCACATCAGCCAGTAGTGCTTGCTCTCAAATCGAAGTTATTTAAACACACTGGACAAATATTTCTTTTATTTTCTGCTCGGCTTATCAGTGGTGTGTCAGATTTAGCTGAGTTCAGATCTCAAAGAGCCAAATCCATTTAAACCAGGGGAATCCTGACTTTGGACTTTTATCAACAGCTGCCTTCGCTGCATACTGATTATCAGATGACTGGTCAGAAAGGATAAACAACAAGGAACTCTGTCAACAAACGAAATAAGAACCTTCTGTTCAATAAATACGCGGAAGCAAGTGGAGATGGATTGGACTCACGCTGAGGAGACCGCTTAGTGACATCACAGGCCAGACAGAGCCTAGAGTAGAGCTCGAATGGGAAACATCGAGGTGATCATTCGATAGTAACGTGGGGGAGATTGTGTGAGGAAGAGATCAGAGCCTATGCGTAATCGTGGAGCCTGGTAAAGAGAACTTCGGAAAACAGGATGAAGTGGAGATTTGCTATTGAAGCCCTATATTCCACTTGAAAATAAGGGGATAAGAAGAATAATAGTTTGCCATAACTTCATTTTCCTTAAGTTTTAGTATATCTCTTCTGAATTTGAAGTTAAGTGGACTCTTGAATAGAAATAGGATTTTGGCGATGTGTATCATGGAGTCCTTAATTGTATGTTTTGAGTACTTATGGGTAGTTTTAATATTGAGATCAAATACCTGTACAGGCTTGTGAATCGCTGTATGACTGTAGAATTTTACATATTTGTAAGGGTTTGTGTTAAATTTATAAATTTATAATAAGGGAATTTTCCAAGTGAAGAAGGAATCTTATTTGTGCTGAGTCGAATCTCTTGAGGTTTGAAAATTTCATCCTTTTCTCAAATAAGGAAAATTCTTCAATAAAATTTCTCAAGCGTTCTTTATATCACCAGCTTTGACCATTCATTGGGAAATACAAAAACCTTTATTATAATGTATAATTCCGGAATATTTATTTTAATGCCTAATTTATACTACTTAATTATAGTAAGTAGCTTATATTTTATTGATAATTTATGCAGACGGGTATATTCGATAAATAATAACCTCCAGATAGATTTAAATGAAAGGATGGTTTTATTAAATAAGTGAATTTTAAATACCACACTCAGTGACACATTATTGTATGACGTTTTGAGCATAAGAAATGTCTTGTAGTCATATTTGTTTCAAATTCTCTTGGTATGCTCGAAGAATCATCCATAAAAAGTGATTTCAGTTGAGAAAAATCTCTTTGCGACGATTTCATTGTCGTAGCTCAATAGGGCAAATGTCATTCACATAATAATGATGCAACAATGAGTTCCATATCAAATAAGCTTGTTCGATGTAGGCTAATACTGTAACAAGATTTCTAAGTTCTGCTCTTTCAGAAATTAAGACGGTGTTAACTGTTGGTTTGTATCGAGTTCTTAAAAAACAGGGTTGGGACCACGATGACACATTGCTTCATGTGTTTGTTGTGTTAAAGTTTATGTTGGAATATTTGGGCGGATGGTGATAGACATTTCGTTCTATTCTGGACTCGCCAACCGAACGTTTCTGTCCTATGAATCAACTGGAAAAGTCAGAATTCAATTAAAAACAAATAATGACTGACATAAACTGCGCAAGATGTGATCATCGTGGCCCTAATTCATAAAGCCTTAGCGTTTGAGTCTCGGTGGTAACACCATCATCACCCACTGGTGAATGCATGTACATCCAGTTGATGAGTCCAAAGAAGACGGAATGCTCCTCCTGGATTACACTGCTAGTCACCATTCACCAAACTACCTCAGGTTAATCCTCAGACATCCTTCAAATGTCCGCAATAGGAGCCGATATGTTAACAGAGAGAGGACATCTCGGTTCAATCCATTGACGGTAAAAGCAACGGTAAATTAAAAATAAATAACTTATGTCGGGTGATGGAATGACTCCAGCAGGCATATTTACATTAATTCCCTTAATTTATAGACTTTTCTTAACGGAATATGAAAAAAACAAACAGTTGAATCAGAATAATTTGAGCTTACCTTTTTCTCAGTATTCTGTTCATCTCTTTTTAAACATGACTGCACATTATATCTGTAGCCTTTTTTGAGTTGATAAGATTATGTCAGCATAAGTTAATATTATTTGGTACAAGTGTGAATGGATTTGTGGACAAAGCGGAAGATTTCAAGAGAGAAGAGCAGAACATGAGTTAAAAGTAAAGGTTGGAACAATCACCCAGTATTAGAAGCAGTTTAGAGATTATGTAAAGATATTTAAAACTAATTTTAAAAAAAATTAGTTCAGGCAGCGGGTGATATAAACAGAACTCACAAATTTGTAGTATTTCGAAAGCGATTTTCAAGACAGACACCAACTGATAAGATAGCATAACCAGATTTTCAAATAAATCCAACTGTAGAATTGACTATTGTATCTATTTGAATGTGAACGTAAAATGTGCTTCTTTTGATTACAATAGCTGAAGCAAAACAGAAGAAGTATAAACTCATCCACCTGTCAACAATTTTATGCTGATAAGAACTTGAGCACTGTGTTAAAATGTTGTTTTTTTTAATATTACATCGATCCATATGATACACAGCATTCAGTCGAATTGATATATCTACTTGTTACAACTTGGAGTTTGTCTTTAACATCGTTTTAATCGAGCATTAGAAGTCGAATACTGTGAAATGATGTCACTTTGTAGTCCTCTACAACGAATGAGGTTTCTATATACATTGTTTGAGATCCATTTAGTTAATCCCTTGAGGGCATCTATCACCTTTAATAAACTTATGTGGAATAATTGGAAGGCAGTCACTAGTGTTGATTACGTGACTAGACGATAATGAATGTTGTATGCTGAATGACGATAGACTTCTGTTCATATTTAGATTTTCTGAATGAATTTTTAGCCACTTAAGAATATATTTTTCCGAACGAAATTGGAACATTCGATAGGTTCTACCAATATATGTGTCCCTTCAAATGCAGGAATACTTGCAGATCCTGAGGGAATTGAACTGTAGTCATAGGAATTGAAAATGTTCTAGAGGTATGGAAAAGAGATGCTGTATGGAGTGTAAGCTTTATAGCTGATTTAAGTTCTTGAGCAAACCGGTGAGTGGCACCGCATGCCAAGCTGTCGAGTGCAACCCGGATAGGAAACGACGAGTTTGGTGTCTGAGGACGAGATGGAGCAGGTCGTGTGGAGAGGCGATAGCAGCTTATAGACAACTGTGGAACTAGCTAACATGGTGAAGTGGAAATCTGATTCTGAAGTCCTGTGTTCCACCTGGAACTTAAGCAGACAGTAATAATATACCTTTCAGCTGCTATCTGTGTAAGTTGATCACCGATAAGCGGTAGTTTGATAAAGATGAATTTCTTTGGTGTGGGTTCAGTCTATCTTTGCTGTGACATACAATAAAGTTTTCGGGATATGCACTAGCTAACAAAACTGAATGTACGAACCGTAGTTCATCAGTTAACGTATCACTTGTACAAATTTTACGGACCCTTTAAAACAGACATTTTATTAAGGAGAATTTGTACTGTATAAGAACAAAGCTGTTTAAATGAAAGTATTGTCTACTCCATGTCCTGCTAAGAAATATCGATTGCTCATTTGTTCTGCTGTCTTGTCTAGCCATTAAAATATTTAGCGAACCTAGTTTGTTATTCCATTTGAATCCTGATGTCACTCGAATATAAGCAATAATATGATTAAATCCAGTTATTAAGTGACTCATTATTGTCACTATTCAAGACTGCATTACCCACATAACACCCGGATAAGGTGAAATCTGTTAATATACCTTTCATTTCTTTCTCCAAATTCGACATAAATACATAACAAATTGACATAAGTTAGACTCCATGGACCATTCGATTCCAGCCCGCATGGCCGGATGGTTGACGAGCTTCACCTTCTAACTTGAAGGTCCTGGGTTCGATCCCCGCTGGGATTGTGAATGAATACTGATGAAAAATCGCAACTAGGGCGAAACCGCTATCTATCTGTTTCCCAATAGTTCTCTGATTGACATCAATTCTCGATCACACTTGAGATAAATCCATCTGCTAGTAGAAGTTCAAAAAGGCTTCATATTACAACATCAATTTCTTTGTATGCCTTTCTTTGGAAGATGGTTCGTGTACATGTCAAGATAATATCTCTGATTTTAGTAATGCAAGTGGTAAAAAAGTACTTGTAATTCATTATTTGTGACATAATCACAAATAAAAATACATAGTGCCGTTAGGTTTAACATGAGTGAACAAAGAATCTAATCAATTGTCTAGCGTTTTATTTTCTAAAATATCAACCAAGTTGGCTGCTTGCTTGAATCATTGAGCTACCTAAAATTAAATCCGAGATGATGCATCTTATTTTCTTTTATTTCTCCCTGTTATAATCATTCACTTGCGTTTGTGGTTCGCTAAATATCTAATATCACTGCGGCATATTGTGGTGAGAGCTGTCTGTTAGCCAAAAGTGGTAGACAGCAATTTACGTCAGTGGCTTTACGTCCCAAATCGAGGTCATGAGAAAAAACAAGAGCAAAGCCTAAACATTGAGGAACTCAACAACCAAACACAGCAGACTTAAAGTGTGCAAATACAATTCGCAGATATATGGCCTAACTTTCTAAGAAACGGTCACAAAGAGATAACAGAATAACCTCCAGCAAGAAAATAACCATTCAGAATACGTTGCTTCTCTTTCAACAATAACGCTAATAATAATGTACATAAAAATCTATAAATATCTGTTGATTTTCTCAATAAACAATCTGTTGCCTCGCCCTTATCTTCCCTCGTTACAATATGATGTACTGGTGATGGTTGTTCTACTTGAAACTCCTGGATAATGAAGAGAAAATGTCATACCATCCATCACCTACACTGAAAATTATGCATATTGTGTGCATAATAAAGCTATTATTATTGTTTTGTAATTGTAGACAGACCATGAAATGATACCATAGGATAATAATTGTTACACCCTAAAGTTTAAAAAAAGAAGATTGTTTACATTACTTTCTCTTTTTTTTCACGATAATATTACTAATGTCTACCTATTTTAGCCGATGAATGAATTACTCGTTAGGGGGGATAATTGTTTATGCACATTTATATGCACAATACCTTTTTTTAAATACTTTACAATGTCTCCCATTTATAAGCAGCTGAAATATAAAAATCAAGCAGAAATAAATGGATTCACATTTTATTATGCACTTGAAGTATAAACAAAACGAAACAGATGCATGTGTATGTGTAGAATAAAAATGATTAGTGCATTAAATGCAAATGAGATTATGATGACACCTTTAAATGAAAGCAATAAAAGGCAATTATATATCTAAACAAGCCAGTGCACGCAACATATACACACAGAGATTCTGTTCAGAAACAAAATTAACAATAACAAGAAAAAAAGCATATTTGTCGTGTTCATTTGGTTGCATAAATGAAATTTAAAAAAAAAAGAAAAGAAAAACAACCATGTTACTGATGATATTATCAGTTTAGATACATTTTATTTTCATATTTATGGTATACGAGAATAAAAGGTGTCTAGAGTAAGTAATCTTATTATTGTGATCAGCAAGAATTCATTTTATTATTTGTTTAAATTAACTATGTCTGGACTGGATTCAACTGGATTTTAAACGTCGAATGTTGAACAAAAGTATTTATCGAATTGAATTTTTGATTTTCCCGTCGATTGATTGGACCGAAGTGCTCGGTCTCAGATTGACATGTCGGCTTCTTGTGCAGACCCGTTGCACAAGAGGTGGCTCTCGTGGCCCAAGCGGTCTAGTGGATAACGCTTTGGCGTTTGAAACTATGGTTAGTGGGTTCGAGCCTCGGTGGGAACATCATCACTCACTGAGAAATGCAGGTTCATCCAGATGACGAGTCCCAAATAGGACGAAATGCGCATCCTGGATTCCACTGCTAGCCACCATCCACCAATTGTATACTAAAAGTATTTATCGTTATTATTATTATAATTCCCTTAGGTTCCTCTTTAGCTAGCTCCACGATCTCCACCATGTAATCCCCGATACCATAACCAAACTATTCGTTTCCCCCTTGGAGTTCCACTCAATTGGGTGACTGGTGCGTCGTGAAGTCACTCAATGGTATCATCACCACTATTTCCTTTGGGAGAATTTTTTTTACCAATAGGTTCTCAGTTGGATCGTTTTCAGAGTTTCTTTTATTTACTTAGCCATTCTGGTCATCTAATCTTCAGCATGAACAGAAGGCATGTGTTGATGGAAGTCTATGGTGGCCTGCTGGAAATGCTTTTGATAACGCGTCAAACTATATGATTCTTATGGAGGCAGTGACTTAACATTGCTGTTGAAAATCCGAATCTTGTTCTTTTTTGCTTAGTGAAGTAGATTTCCAGACTGGTTTCAGATTAGTGATGGTCTGTGTCACCTTTCCAATCCTGACTGGCTTTGGTGTCTTCATCTCTGCCACCGGTAGTTGTCTTCCTTCGAATTTCTTTGTTGTTACACTTTTGTGCAGCAGTTCAAATAACCACAATTCACGAAGCAGCAAACATAGAGGTAGGAAGATAGAGAGCAAGATAGAGGACAAAAAGAAACATAAAGAAATTATGGAAAACAGAAATATTCACAAGAGAGTGAATGAATGTATCTGTGCCACCGAGAACGATTTTCAACGGGGGCATCAATAGTCTCCAGGTATTTGCTTCTTAGCATCTGGATGACTCCAACATTCTGCATTTTGCATATCTCTGCATAACTCACACCCAACAGTCACAGTGCGTCGGTGGCACAGTGGTTAGGACTCTCGCAGACCATGCACATGGTCCGAGGTTCGAGCCCTCGCCGACGCACACCTGATATCTATGGTCGGCCTGCGAATTTTGGGCTACCGATATCCACGCTGAAAATTCCATACTTGTACCAAAAATACGGTGTGGAATCAAGCTGTAATCAACAAATAAAATAAAAATAAAGACTTTATCAATTGATGGTATGTTTTGATTTGACCACGGCTAACTCTTTTCCAATCATACCATCTGTACAGTAAAGTGATATTTTAAAAAAATTGATTATTCAGGAAGAAACGGAAATCTCAAGCTTTTCTTCATACAATATACTTCCATGAAGAATCGGGAGATATATCTTCTATTTCCTGATAACAATAACAGCAAGCTACAGGTAGAAAATTATTTGCCTGCCTCTTTGAATTGTTGATTCAATATTGGAACAATCTGAGCTAGTCTTACTTTGATTGATGTTTTGTGCTGCTGAATGTTATTTGAATATGCAGCAAAAACTCAGCTCGAACAAAATCTTACAGATTAGATTTCCTTCCGTACAATCACATTCATCACCCACTTGTACTAAAATTAACTTTACAAACTGAAGACAATTCAGCTGCTTATTTCCCATTTCATAGTTGATACTACTTCAATTCTTTAACCTTGCCTAGTTTACTGGCGCCGGTGGAATAGCGGTTAGGACGCTCACCCATCATGCATATGGTCCGGGGTTCGATACCCTACCGACGCACACCTGATATCAATGGTTGGTCTGTTAAATTTAGGCTACCGATGTCACATGCTGAGAATTCCATACTTGTACCAAAAAAATACGGTGTGGAATTAAGCTATAATAATTAGATAAAATAAAATAAAAATAAAGTATAGGTAGAAAACCAGGAAAAGAGCAGTAGTTGGGTTTAAGACTAACAATTTCAGCCCGAAAAGAACAACACTATCACCACTAGAAATTCAAAGCCTGAATTCCTATGTTCTACTTGGAACATGAAGAATGAAATAATTGTGAAGAAGCGGTTTAGGAAATGGGTACAGTTGTAACGACAAAAGACAAGGGCCAGGCAACAGATCATTTATTGAGAAAATCATCAGATATTTATAGATTTTTATGTACATTATTGTCAGCGGTGAAGTAACGTATTCTGATTGGTTGTTTTCTTGCTCAAGGTCATACTGTACTGCTTGTGACCGTTTCTAATAAAGTTAAGCCATATATCTGCGAGCCGTACCCTCCCACGTTAAGTCTGCTGTGATTGGTTGTTGAGTTCCTCAAGGTTAGGCTTTGCTTTTGTTTTTTCTCATGCCCCTGATTCGGAGCGTATACGTTCACGTAAACTGTTGTCTACAGTTTAGCTTGCAGACAGCTCTCATCACACAGTGAATACATATTAGCACATCACTCTTTCGCATGGCAACTGTACAAAATTTGATGGAATATGTACACCTAAATAACCTTTTTTTTAGATCTAACAGTTTCATAATTTAAGTGTTATGCTGCATTTTAGTATCCACAATGTACTTAACACTCATGTACCTTTGTTCATTTTGTCTTTATTTTAAAAATTCTACTCTAGGGTAATACACATCATGGGATAAATCGTGTTACACCATTTGGACGTAATGCTGCATTTACAACACCAATTGATAAATACTTAAATAGTCGTATGCCTAGTGAAATGCAAGTGTATCCACGTTAAAGAAAAAAAAATGAACAGATAGGTAATATGAATACATTGTCTTATCTTTCATATTATTCTCTTCTCAGTATGCAACTGCTTACTGTATTATTGTTTTATTTAAATTGTAATCTGAGAATGCGAAAGAAAATGTATGATTAACATGCCTTAATGTGGATTTTATTGGGGTTAAAAATGTATGTAGTAATAATTAATAAAAACAACAGTGGAATGAATAATGGTTATTGTTATTGATTTTCTGAAGAAGTTATTGCTGTCAGATAGTGTTGAAGACAATCGGGAGGAAGGAAGCCTTGAAACTAGGCGTCGTGCTTGTTGGAACTTGCAAGTAAGGCAGAATTGCAGTCTAGGATGAATTCATATCCCTCCTGGAAATATGTTACCGCTAAGCTATTACGGCTCGCAAATGAACTTTTGTAAGACGCTAATGAATACTTTGACTGGAACTAGGCAGTGATTAATATTATGAGTTTAGTCCTTCATTTGGTAGAATTCATGGAGGAGATCATGCAAGGAGGATGGATATAAGGACTTGTGGGAAATCATGCAGCCAGCCAAAAATAAGAAGATTCTTGAGAAAGGAGTGAAGTGGAGATGAGCTGTAGAAGACCTGTGTTCTACTCAGAACCCAAAGGGGAATAATAAAAGTAATAATAGACTTCTGATCAGTTTACATGAGTAGTTGCCAACCATTCATGTGAATCAGTAGTACTTGCTGGCCTGGTCAAAGTGATACCAAAAATGAAATTCATTCAAGATTATGAGAATATATACATGTATATATGTTTAAAGGATAGTGTTTGATTATGACAGAATATCTCAACAAGTGCCTGAACGGTATCAGTGATACAAAGTTTATTGATATAACTGTGTCTCACCTGAAGGTTCTAATTTCTCTAAGCATATTGTAAGTTCTATCTTCCTGCGGGTTTTTGTGTTTGGAGATTTATGTTAACCTTAGTAATCATCGTTGAATATATGAACTTTGGTTATCTAATAGACTTTGACCAAAAGTAAATATATCATACGAAAAAAAGTAATTTCAGTTAATCAGTCTACAGAAATTCGACTATTTCAAAACCGTAGCTGTAGAATAAATAGTATTGATTTGTATCCAAAGGATAATGAGGTGTAAGCCGTCTTCTAGATATGAATAATTTGTAAGTGAATTTCATTGTCCATGCAATGAATACTCGATAGTTAGTGAAGAGAATGAGTGGGATTGAGCGCGGGGGTCTACCACTGCATATAACGTAATTTCTCCTTACGCATTTTCGTATACAAGTATTAGATGTCGGAGGCAATCGGCAAGAAGCCTTAGACCTAGGTTTCGTACTAGTTGGCACTCATCAGCAAGGCGTATCTGCAACCTTGAAGGAACAACTCATGTCCCTTCTGAGATTCGAACCCACGTCACACAGTGCTGCAGTCACAGATGCTACCACTGAGCTATTCGGGCTCGCGATTGACCTCTTGTAGGACTTTAGCGTATATTTTGATTGGAAACTAGTAACTAGTGTGATGTGTCCAGTCCTTTCTTTGGTGCAGACTCAATTCTACCAGTCAGGTTTGTAATGTGACCACCATTCTAGGTAGCTCACCATCACGGTACATATTGATTTGAGGATATTAGATGGTTGGACTGATAGAATTGAGTCTGCACCAAAGAAAGGACTAGACACATCACACTAGTTACTAATGTCCAATCAAAATATTGGATACAAGTCGACGGCAATTTGTAAGTCCATAGTAAAAGCAACATATTTACAGTAATTTGTCGAAAAATGCATTAGGAATAAAATTAGTGTCAGCAAGAATCTTGAGAAAAGAAAATAATCATTAATTATTCCGCAAGCTTAGCAGTCAAAATATTCAAATTGATTTCAGATATCGTTTGCTAAAGGATGTCTAAGGGTGCACCGCAGATCACACCGAGAAAATTCAGAGAGATACATGATATAGCGAATATATTCACTCAGACATCTATAAAATACAAAATAATCGAGCAAAGAATATCCTTTTCGAAAATTTCCTCTTCTGGCTCTACAATTATATATATATATATGTTTATATACATAGAATATTCTAGAATAGTAGTCAATAACAATATTAGTGTTTTTTAATATCGATTTGTAAAGTAAGACCGCAATGGAATTACAGTTCATTAAAGATGCTTTAATTATAATAATAATAAAGATATACTAGCAAACAGAATATCAACTAAAATTAAGGAAATTTCTACAAAAAACTGAGGATCATCCGAACTTAGACGGCTTAGGTAAGGATAATGTCTGAACCAATTTCTTTTGGACGCACAAATTAGGCTTTTTAGAAGGATCCCAACAGCCTCAGCAGTATTTAGTAATCGAACTCTTAAGGCGAGATTAAAATTTTTTGGCATGCGGTAAATGACTCTGAAGGCCTGGTTAACATCAGTATGGTGCTCTGTATACACAAGATGAGGTAGAATGGCACTACGAATAGATTTTGTTTGTCCTTTACTTAACCATACAGGGTGATGTTCGGAAATTCGATAAGAAACACGCCTAATTGCACGGCCTATCAAAAGTGCTCCATAGGAGCAGTTCATTTGGTAGGTAAACATGGAAGAGGTGAAATTAGGCGGTGTATGTTTTATTCCCGAACGCAAAAGAGGAGTGATTTTGAAGACACTGTAATTTGGCAGGAGGGAATGCACTTTTTACCACAATTCTAAGGCATTGTGTTAGTATCTCGCTGATGCAGTCCCCGAGGAACTGCATTTGTAAGAATAAAGCCTTTTTGAGAGCTGTTGGTACCTTGGGTTGCTTTGATTATAGATTGATATTCTTACCGATAAACTTTTCTGGATAAGCATTTTCACTCGGCAGCCGTTTAATACTATTAAGTTCCTCATCAAGACCAATCGATATTATTTAAAAAACACTAATATTTCTATTGACTATTATTCTAGAATATTCTATGTATGTAAACAAAATATAGAGCCAGAAGAGGAAATTATCTTTGCTCAATTACTTCATGTTTTATAAATACGTGTGCGTCGGTGGCATAACGGTTAGGACGCTCACCGACCATACACATGGTCCGGAATTCGAGCCCACGCCGGCGCACACCTTTACCTTGCTAAGCCAGAAATAATGCTGATGAAGAGGAAAGGTTGGGTAAGAGGCTAGCAACACTATCCTGTAAAATAAACACTGCTAAGGAAACTTCAAGTCACTAGGGTGAAGCCCTATGTTCCACTGGGAACGTGAAGGAAAAAAAAATTATAAATACATGACAACCCGAGAAATTCCCCGGAAGACAACAAACAATACAAAGCACCATAGTTGGACAATGAGACGAATCGGAAAAACGTAAGCAAATGGAATGGAAACTATGGAGGAAAAAATCAAAAGAATATAATATCAACAATATATATTCAAAATTAATCATGTTAATAATGACACACAAATGAAAAGAAAAAAGTGAAGGCATGCTTAAATTCCCGAAAGAAAAGATGCGGAGAGAGGCAGGAAGCAAAAAAAAGGGTAACACGAAAACTCGAATGAATAACGCGAACATGATTCACATACAAAAAAATTATAAGTGAATAAAATGAACGCAAAGCTGTCGGTACAAAAAACACATGTCAATCAGTCCCGCCATCGTCACAGGTAATTCGAGATGGAAGAGACTGTCTCACCAGTCCAGTGGAGATTGAGCCGGCTGGATGACTGATTCTGGTGATCGAGTGGATGTGACCTAGCGATCCAACTTCGCCGATAATCTTGGTGATCAGTGGTTGAATATCGAGAGGCGGTGGATTTCTGCCTCCGTGTGCAGATTGACGCGTGTAGCTGTAGATGATGCTTGTTGATGAGTGTGATGAGTGTGTGAGTTGATTTTTGTTTGTTTGTTGTTATTTGACAGTTGTTTTTGAGGCCTTTGTCAGTGGTGTGTTGTGTATGTAGAGGCGTTGACCTTGGGGTTCGGTGGTGTAGTGGTTATCATGTCTGCTTTACACGCAGAAGGTCCCCGGTTCGAACCCGGGCCGAACCAGGCTTTTGTTCTACTCAGACTGTCCACCCACACCACCAACTCACGTCGCCTTCCTCACTGGACGTAAGCTGATGCGACACTGCCAGCAGTGCATAATCACCTCACGCGTCAGCGACATCCACATCCGTCGTAGTGACAACGAGTAGGTCGAACTGTCGAGGGCTCTCTACAGTCGGTCTCGCCTCTCTACACTTCCACTACGAATCCTGAAACAACAATTGATCTGTAGTCTATCCCCTTCAACACTGAACATCTCAATGTCAACGTGTGCAGCAGATAAGTGGACTCGTCCACCTCTCTTCCTCAACACAGATAAATCAGTCAGTGAATAGACCAGCTCACTCCACCCCTCATCAACTCCACACATTCAACTACGATCTGCACGCAACACCACTGATAATATTCACAAACACCGAAACTCTCATGTCTCATTCATCATGACCAACAGACACGGCCTTATCTATGTCACCTATCACTATTCATTCATACAATCTCTCGAAACAACCAGTGAAATCCGTACACATTGTCAAGACGACTGAGTCAAGCTGTCGTGTGGATTCCGCCCAGAATCACTAGAAACACTTGTACACCTCAGTTGACATGATCGAATCTGCGTCTGTCTCACTCTCCACATGTACTCCTCACTCGTAGGAGAAACACTGATTGTAGAATTGAGTTGATCCTGTGTTTTTGTGTGAATGTGTGTGAGTGTGTCTGTGCGTCTACTTGACTGTCTGCATGCCTGCCTGACTGCTCGCCTGTCTGTCTGTGTGTCCATGTGTCCATGTGTGTGTGTGTGTGTGTGGAGTCTGTTGGTGTGTTGTTGTGTGCGTGTGTGTGTGTGTGTGAGAGAGAGAGAGCGAGAGAGATTGCATTTTCGTGTGTGGGTGTGCGTTTCTGTGTGCATTAGTGAGTTGTTGGGTGTTCCTGTGTCGGAAATGCTTGTCTATCTATGCACTCGCCCGTTCCTCAATCATACGATCCGTCAGTGTGATTGATGGCGGAAATTTTGATTGGCGGCTATGCCGTCTATGGTTGATTGTCCGGGAAACTGATAGATTGACTGTCTCTCCGAATGACTTTTCTCACATGTAGACAGGATTCAGTGTTCTTGAGAGTTTGGCTTGACGAGATTGTCAGTGTGGAGTGATTTTCTGTCAA